TTCCCAGCCTCGGCACTATGGACGTTGGGCCAGGTGGCTGTTGCAGAGGAGCATCCATGAGGCCGCAGAGCATTCTAGTTCAGCGGCATCCTGTTCTCCACCCACACTCCACCCCCTCCAGCTGCGAAAACCAAAAATGTCTCCAGACTCTGGCCTGTTTGAGAAGCCCTGATCTGGGCCAACTGCACAAGTTACCTGAATGACCAGGGCAGTCACAAAACGTCACTACCAGGATCCCTCCTGGCCTGTTCTCAGAGCAGCTGTGCAGAGCCTTTCCACACCCAGGCCAGTTTCATTACTGGGTCATCCTTCCTCGAGTTTCCCCTTCAAACTGATATTCATTGTCACTCAGGTGCAGGACATGCCTCAGTAGAATGTCTTAAATCCTTTGTGGAATGAGAAGAGGTAGGGAAAAGAATCCAATCATAGGACAGGAGAAAAAACACATGCCATAAAGCAATGCAGTTAACTGACAAATTATCCCATTATTGAAAATTTGCCATACACCTTTTTACAGCACTGCCAGAAACCAAAGGAGAATGAGTGTCCTTTCAGTCCTGGCCCTTCTGGTTAGAATGGGCTTCACTAAAGAGCTGTGCATGAACACCACAAGAATTCCAGAAAAACTCTCAGGGACAAAGGCCCTGTGATGGGAAGAACCATGAATCTCAATGATTCTCAACATACAAACTGCATTTTCCTACAACCAAAAACCCAACTGCTTTCAGTTTCTAACAAATATATGGTCATAACCTAACTTAGAAATAAACCTTATTTTGGCCAAGCCTAAAATAAAATACATAAGGAATGCCATATCCAAGAACACAGAGTAAAACACGTGTGTGTGTGTGTGTGTGTGTGTGTGTGTGTGTGTGTGAACAATGCCTGGCACATAGCTTCAAGTTTACCAAGGCCCAGAAAGTGGAGTCACAAGCCCAACAATCTACAGCTAATAAATGATGACATCTTGAATCCAGTCTGATTCCACGCTCAAAGCTTGTTACTGTGACATGACTTCAATATTTAACCGATCACCTTAGAACAGTGATTCTCAACTGGGGGTGACCTGGCCAACAGAGGACACTAGCAATGTCTGGAGACAGTTTCTTTTGTCACAACTCTGTGTGTGTGTGTGTGAGCTTAGATGCTACTGGCATCTGGAGGGCAGAGGCCAGGGATGCTGCTAACATCCTACAACACAGATTGGTCTCCACAACAGTTATGTGGCCCAAAATGTCAATAGTGCTGAGACTGAGAAACCCTCCCTTAGAGGAAAGGTCTCACTACTATCATCAGCCAGGAAAACGAAGACTGAGAACACACCTGCACCCAACAAACACTTCTCTCTCTGCTTTCAACTTGCCCGCTTACACTATTTGATGAATCCCGCCACCTCAGGGAAAACGCAGGGCTCTCTGCTCCCTCCCTCTTCAGGCTCTTAGACCCCAGAAAAAGTATGTTCGAGCTGCATAATCAGTCAGGAGACTGAATGCAGAGTCAGGAAGCCAGAAAGTGCTGTGATGCTCTCTCCAAACCACCACGGTCTCTTGGGTCCCTTAACCCAAAGCACGTTCGACTTTACTGGCCACCACCCAACACTTGAGCTCCTGGCTAAGCAGCGCTCGCCCCCAGCAGCTCCCCCTATTCACCAGTTTTTAAAGGACAGCTCAGTACTGATCCAGACCATCAGTATGTCCTTCAGGAGAGCAGTAATTTACCAGACAGTCCTGAACACTCAATGAGACGGGCGATTCCAGATTTTAAAAGAAAGGAAACCTGACAAAGAACAGGTTTAAAAGAGTCTCAATTTCTTCTATTATCTCGGGGAGCACTTTGTCTTCCTTCCCAAGCAAACACCACAATCACGCTACAAAGAAGGCAGGGCAGATACTATCAGGTTCTACTCGAGGCCAGTGGAGAGGCTGCAGCAACAAGAGGCCCCAGGCCCACAGCTCAGCCCACCCTGCCAGACGGGGACTACTGGCTGCGGCCTGGCTGCAGACTCTCTCTTGTTTGTGCCTAAACAATAGCTTAAGCATCCTGACTTACTTGTGCCTACACAGCATAAAACCTGTGTCCTACAAAGGAGCTTATCACGAAGTTATAAATTACATGGTAGAAGGAAGGCTGGAGAAGGGTACACAACACACACAACCTCATCTAGGCAGTGTCAAAATGAAAATTCCTTCAGACTTCACTTGCACAGCAAACTAGCTCATCGTAAAAACTTTTCCCTTCCTGACTCACAAGCACCATAATTTATAATTACTGAACATTTGCCCAGTTCTCCAGGGAAAGATCTCACACTACACGTCAGGAAATGCACTTGGAGACCAACACAGGAGAAATGAAACCAGAGTTCACTGCTTTTGCTCTCACATACTGTCAACCCAGCTGTCTTAGTAAGTTATGGCAACCTCAGCTCTCTTACCTGCATCAGCCAACGTTTATCGCAGACCCTCTACGTGAAAGGCATTGCTCAGTGTGGCAGGGAATGCAGAGGGGAGCGAGGCGGTCTGCGCCCTAGGGGCACAAGGAATGTACACCCACAGGGACAGAGAGCATCTAGTGGAGTAACTCAAGAGGAATGGTAACAAAAGGAAAAGGGGACCTCACCCGGGCCCTGAAAAACGAGAAGGATGTCCTGCTAGAAAATGGAAAGGCTGCAGCAATAGAAAGCAAGCATCCTGAGATCAAGTTCAAAACTAAAAAGCAACACACTTAAGAAAGGCAAAAGCATCTACCCAACTTGTTCTAAAAGAAAACTAGCTCCCTCTAGTCGCACAGCAAAGTAGAAATGAGGAACAAGACAGAATCAGGGTGACTCTTTGCCTACCAGCAGTCGGGACATCCAGGTTGCGGGCCCTCAGCTGGAGTATTGCTCCCTGGGCTCACTGCTACCGGCAGGGGATGGGGGCTCGCTCCCCTCACCTTCCTAGGGGGCGAAGGCCAACTCCTGCAACAAGTGTGCGGGCCAGACAGAACTACAGTAAAACTGCTGGTTACCGCGCTTCTCTGTACCAGAGTCTCTTCCCTACCAGAGAACTGGATGAGTCCGCTCCCTGGGTGTGCTTTAGGGCCGCTGCCCCAGAGCTAAGGCAGGCCCTCTCCGAGCACACACCTGTGCCCCGTGGGCCCCATCCGAGTCGCCCTCATGCTCCAGCTCAGTGTGAACGTAATTCCTCAGGCTAGGGGATCTCAGCCCAGAATCACGGTCCCCCACCTAAAGCACTGTCACCAGAACCAGGCCCTCTGGCATGGCAGACGTGCCCATTCCAGGTCTACACCCCGCCACTAAAAGGCCACTCCGCTCCAGTTTCACACACTGGACCGTCCTGGCACATCCCGGCCGGAGCCCAGGGCCGCTCCCCGGGCCGGGCCGCTAACCCTGCCCGGACCACGGGCGGGCGTCCGAGGGCTTAGGAGCAACGGCCGGGGCGAGGGCGGACGTGGCCGAGCACGTGCCCGGCTCCCGGTCTCCTCGCGCGAGGACAAAGTCCGCGACCGCCGGCCCCGCGGCGCGGGCACCGGGCACTCGGCGTCGGAGCGAGGCGGGCAGGCCTGCGCACGGCTCCCACCTGGCTCCAGACCACGGCCCGTCTCCGGGCTCGGCCCCCCGCGACCCACGCGCGCACTCACCATTGTGGTTGACCCAGGTCGGCTTCAGGAGCTTCATTGTTCGGCCGCCGCCGCCGGGCTGAGGCGAGAGCCGCGTCCCTCAGCGCGCCCGGGCCATGGA